TGTTACTGAAAGTAAAAACAAAACTGAAAAGTAATTGGGAAATAAAAATAATCAAAGGGGAGTGTTGCATTGAGAATGAAATCCAAAAGAAAAGACACGAACAAACAAAAAGAAACAAACAAACAAAACAGAAAAAGTAAGCAAACTAAATTCAAAACTTAATCATAAGCACGAACAAGTAAAACTGACTTCTTGAATTTACGATAACATATTGCACAAAAAAATAAGTAGAAAAACAAATCTTCGTTTTCTTTTTATATGTGCCTTATTGCTTTATTCCCTGTTAGTGTGTTCTATATTGTCAGTATGTCTTAGTCCATGTTAGTATGTTCTATATTGTCAGTATGTCCTATTCCATGTTAGTGTGTTCTATATTGTCAGTATGTCTTATTCCCTGTTAGTGTGTTCTATATTGTCAGAATGTCTTATTCCATTTTAGTATTTTCTATATTGTCAGTATGTCTTATTCCATTTTAGTGTGTTCTATATTGTCAGTATGTCTTATTCGATGTTAGTGTGTTCTATATTGTCAGTATGTCTTATTCCATGTTAGTGTGTTCTATATTGTCAGTATATCTTATTCCATGTAAGTATGTTCTATATTGTCAGTATAACTTATTCCATGTAAGTATGTTCTATATTGTCAGTATGTCTTATTCCATGTAAGTATGTTCTAATTGTCAGTATGTCTTATTCCATGTTAGTGTGTTCTATATTGTCAGTATATCTTATTCCATGTAAGTATGTTCTAATTGTCAGCATGTCTTATTCCCTGTTAGTATGTTCTATATGGTCAGTATAACTTATTCCATGTTAGCATGTTCTATATTGTCAGTATGTCTTATTCCGTGTTAGTATGTTCTATATTGTCAGTATGTCCTATTCCCTGTAAGTATTTTCTATATTGTCAGTATGTCTTATTCCATGTCAGTATGTTCTAATTGTCAGTTTGTCTTATTCCGTGTTAGTATGTTCTATATTGTCAGTATGTCTTATTCCTTGTTAGTATGTTCTATATTGTCAGTATGTCTTATTCCCTGTTAGCATGTTCTATATTGTCAGTATGTCTTATTCCCTGTTAGTATGTTCTATATTGTCAGTATAACTTATTCCATGTAAGTATGTTCTAATTGTCAGTATGTCTTATTCCGTGTTAGCGTGTTCTGTATTGTCAGTATGTCTTATTCCCTGTTAGCATGTTCTATATTGTCATTATGTCGTATTCTCTGTTAGTATGTTCTATATCGTCAGTATGTCTTATTCCGTGTTAGCGTGTTCTGTATTGTCAGTATGTCTTATTCCCTCTTAGTATGTTCTATATTGTCAGTAGGTCTTTTCCCTGTAAGTATTTTCTATACTGTCAGTATGTCTTATTCCATGTCAGTATGTTCTATATTGTCAGTATGTATTATTCCATGTAAGTATGTTCTATGTTATATTGCTTTTACATAATATATCACGATGTTTATATGTTCTATATTGTCAGTATGTCTTATTCTCTGTTAGTATGTTCTATATTGTCAGAATGTCTTATTCCCTGTTAGTATGTTATATATTGTCAGTATAACTTATTCCATGTAAGTATGTTCTAATCGTCAGTATGTCTTATTCCCTGTTAGCATGTTCTATATTGTCAGTATGTCTTTTCCCTGTAAGTATTTTCTATACTGTCAGTATGTCTTATTCCATGTCAGTATGTTCTATATTGTCAGTATAACTTATTCCATGTTATTATGTTCTATATTGTCAGTATGTATTATTCCATGTAAGTATGTTCTAATCGTCAGTATGTCTTATTCCCTGTTAGCATGTTCTATATTGTCAGTATGTCTCATTCCATGTAGGTATGTTCTATATTGTCAGTATGTCGTATTCCCTCTTAGTATGTTCTATATTGTCAGTTTGTCTTATTCCCTGTTAATATGTTCTAATTGTCAGTATGTCTTATTCCATTTAAGTATGTTCTATATTGTCAGTATGTATTATTCCATGTAAGTATGTTCTATGTTATATTGCTTTTACATAATATATCACGATGTTTATATGTTCTATATTGTCAGTATGTCGTATTCTCTGTTAGTATGTTCTATATCGTCAGTATGTCTTATTCCGTGTTAGTATGTTCTATATTGTCAGAATGTCTTATTCCCTGTTAGTATGTTATATATTGTCAGTATAACTTATTCCATGTAAGTATGTTATAATTGTCAGTATGTCTTATTCCATGCAAGTATGTTCTAATTGTCAGTATGTATTATTCCCTGTTAGTATGTTCTACATTGTCAGTATGTCTTATTCCATGTCAGTATGTTCTATATTGTCAGTATATCTTATTCCATGTAAGTATGTTCTGTATTGTCAGTATGTCTTTTCCCTGTAAGTATTTTTTATATTGTCAGTATGTCTTATTCAATGTAAGTATGTTCTAATTGTCAGTATGTATTATTCCCTGTTAGTATGTTCTACATTGTCAGTATGTCTTATTCCATTTAAGTATGTTCTATATTGTCAGTTTGTCTTATTCCATGTTAATATGTTCTAATTGTCAGTATGTCTTATTCCCTCTTAGTATGTTCTATATTGTCAGTTTGTCTTATTCCCTGTTAACATGTTCTAATTGTCAGTATGTCTTATTCCGTGTTAGTATGTTCTATATTGTCAGTAGTGTTTTCTATATTGTCAGTATGTCTTATTACATGTAAGTATGTTCTATATTGTTAGTATGTCTTATTCCATGTAAGTATGTTTTAATTGTCAGTATGTCTTATTCCAGGTTAGTGTGTTCTATATTGTCAGTATATCTTATTCCATGTAAGTATGTTCTATGTTATATTGCTTTTACATAATATATCACGATGTTTATATGTTCTATATTGTCAGTATGTATTATTCCATGTAAGTATGTTCTATATTGTTAGTATGTCTTATTCCATGTAAGTATGTTTTAATTGTCAGTATGTCTTATTCCCTCTTAGTATGTTCTATATTGTCAGTAAGTCTTATTCCCTGTTAGTATGTTCTATATTGACAGTATAACTTATTCCATGTAAGTATGATCTAATTGTCAGTATGTCTTATTCCAGGTTAGTGTGTTCTATATTGTCAGAATGTCTTATTCCCTGTTAGTATGTTATATATTGTCAGTATAACTTATTCCATGTTAGTATGTTCTATATTGACAGGATGTCTTATTCCATGTAAGTATGTTCTGTATTGTCAGTATGTCTTTTCCCTCTAAGTATTTTCTATATTGTCAGTATCTCTTATTCCCTGTTAGTATGTTCTATATGGTCAGTATGTCTTATTCCCTGTTAGTATGTTATATATTGTCAGTATGTCCTATTCCCTGTAAGTATTTTCTATATTCTCAGTTTGTCTTATTCCCTGTTAATATGTTCTAATTGTCAGTATGTCGTATTCCCTGTTAGTATTTTCTATATTGTCAGTATGCCTTATTTCCTGTTAGTATGTTCTATATTGTCAGGATGTCTTATTCCATGTAAGTATGTTTTAATTGTCAGTATGTCTTATTCCGTGTTAGCGTGTTCTGTATTGTCAGTATGTCTTTTCCCTCTAAGTATTTTCTATATTGTCAGTATCTCTTATTCCCTGTTAGTATGTTCTACATTGTCAGTATGTCTTATTCCATGTTAGAATGTTCTATATTGTCAGTATGTCCTATTCCCTGTAAGTATTTTCTATATTGTCAGATTGTCTCATTCCCTGTTAATATGTTCTAATTGTCAGTATGTCTTATTCCGTGTTAGTATGTTCTATATTGTCAGTTTGTCTTATTCCCTGTTAATATGTTCTAATTGTCAGTATGTCGTATTCCCTGTTAGTATGTTTTAGCATGTTCTATATTGTCAGTATGTCGTATTCTCTGTCAGTATGTTCTATATTGTCAGTATATCTTATTCCATGTAAGTATGTTCTGTATTGTCAGTATGTCTTTTCCCTGTAAGTATTTTTTATATTGTCAGTATGTCTTATTCACTGTTAGTGTGTTCTATATTGCCAGTATGTCTTATTCCCTGTTAGCATGTTCTATATTGTCAGTATGTCGTATTCTCTGTCAGTATGTTCTATATTGTCAGTATGTCGTATTCCATGTAAGTATTTTCTATATTGTCAGATTGTCTCATTCCCTGTTAATATGTTCTAATTGTCAGTATGTCTTATTCCGTGTTAGCGTGTTCTGTATTGTCAGTATGTCTTATTCCCTGTTAGTATGTTCTATATTGTCAGTATGTCTTATTCCCTGTAAGTATTTTCTATATTGTCAGTTTGTCTTATTCCCTGTTAATATGTTCTAATTGTCAGTATGTCTTATTCCATGTAAGTATGTTCTATATTGTCAGTATGTCTTATTCCCTGTTAGTGTGTTCTATGTTGTCAGTATTTCTTATTCCATGTAAGTATGTTCTATGTTATATTGCTTTTACATAATATATCACGATGTTTATATAATTATTGCTATAGTATGCAACATACATATAGCGCCCTACTAAATATCAAAATTTCTTTAATATGGTTTAGAGTACATATGAATATAATAGTATTTATAGAATTCCATAAGCTTATACAAATAAATACGACTTATAAACAACAGGAAAACGTATCTTGAGCATCGGGTCAACATTAAAAGACATGTTTTATGAAACGTTGTGAATTCGCCATAGTCCTAGCATCATTGATGAAAAAACATACCGAACTAAAATAAAACAACAGCGCTAAAACTCTTATATAGCATCACATATGAGTCCTTGAATTATGAACAGATGTATGGTACAATTCAATTTTGGCATGCTATGTCTATTACGAAATTTTATAGTTTGTGTGTCGTGTTCATCATACAAACAACATACTTAATTGTGGAAAGGGTTCTCGTCTTATATATTTTCCATACCAATGAGGTGATTTCAAAGCAATTATGGAAGCACACGAAGAGAACTTTGAGAATTTGCACAAATAAATCAACCAATTAACAACTGCTTAATACAAAGAAAATTTATTATGGAAACTGATAAATGTTTGTAATGCTGTTCATACAATACAACTATTGCCGAAAAATATTGCACGTATCATAATTCTTAACATGTAAAGGCAAAACAATCGTCCAATGTAACAGTTCATTCTTGTAAAACTACAGATTTCAGGACTTCAGTCTCCGAAAAAGTCAATGCTGCCATCATGCATTGCTAACATGGTAATTTCTGTGAGTTTAACATAATAAACAATACAGACTTCTGTGTCCTTTGTGCTTAATCTATTCCACAAATGACTTGTCGAATTAGCTATTCCCAGTCACTACATCATAATAGGAAGGTGGTGGATCAAAGGTCAACGAGGGGTCAGGGGGTGGGTCCTCGTAAGGAGGAGGAGAACATCCGTTGTCCTCAGAAGGCACAAAAGAATACACTTCGTCATCAGTGATCCGATCACCGATACCTGGAAATGAAAATTAAACGATAATGGCCAAAGGAATTGTAACATTCGATGAATGAGTATTCAGATTGTTCTTTTCAAAGAAAAGCGAACGGCAATATTAATATATCGTTGTAAACATTTTAGCTGGCTTGATTTTTCAATAGACTGCGGGCCTTCCTATGGGAACAAACTGCGCCAATCTTCCGGCCAAACTTGGACAAGTCCTCAAATTTAACATTATACAATACAAATTTCCTTGACCTCACCGATCGTATATAATCTCCGGGGCTTGAAATCAAGGACACCACGGACTCTTCTATTTCAACCGCTTTTGGGGATCTTTATTTACAACATGACAAACAGGGACGACTTACTACTAAACTGCACGATAAGCGGAGGTTGATGAATACTATAAACACATTTTATGGTAGCCATCAGATCGCAGGGAAATAAGCTATTGTTTGTGTGATATGAGAGTCGATGCTTTTGATTATGCTCAATTCAATTCCTTGTGGGTTTTTTGTCACTGCACGAGTTCTCGATGTGAGGACATGACATTTATATTTACATGGCGGGTGTTATTAATGAAGCAGGAGACGCTTAACCTTCCGGAACACCTGGTCTTATTATTGTACTTTTCAGGGGTCTCCATGTAAGCGGTTTTGTTTTATCTCTCACGTTTTTTCTGTTTTATTGATTTAGAGATCGAATTATGGTTTAAAAACACTTCGGTATCATCTTGTTTCTCGCAAACTAGTATAGAAGTATATTCAAACGCTATAGTTGTCTTTATATTTGAAATCATTACCGTTAATGATTTAATAACCCATTTAGTTATGTAAACAGGAATATAATCATAAGTATGGCCTTTCCTTCAATTTTTTTTGTAATGTTAAATAACATACCTAAAGAATCCAGTGAGTTCCAACTTATTCCAGGTGACAGATTCATGAGAGTTCCGGTCACATTAAGTACTTCTGGTTCACTAGATAGACCCAATGTGTGTCCACTACTTAAGTTTTCTCTCGTTGTTGTGGTGTTTGGCATGTATACTTTCATGCAGCAGGAATTGTCAGATATGTTCTTACATATACCACACAGGCAACAAGAAATGCAGTTACACAATCTTTCAAATATATCTCCACACATATATTCTCTGCAAACCTTGAATATAACTCCAGTTGTTCCGACCAAAAATACGACAGCAACAAGGCCACAAACGACTTGTTCAATTACTGAAAGAAAAGGAAAAATATGAGAAAATCATTTAAAATTTGTTTAAGAATAAAAGCAATAATATATATTAAATCGAATACAACACCAGTAGCAAGTGTCGTTTATAGAAAACAATGTCATTAGACGAAATCTTTAAATGAAAGTAGTTATCGGCTATTTCACAACATACATTTGTTTGGAGACCAGAAAATGCGTTCGGATAATAAGTGTGAAGAGTGTGCATGAGTGACTTTATTTAAAACGTGACACAGGAGTAGATATGTGTGAGGTTGATTTCGAATATATTAACATTATGCTGATCAGACAGGACACAAATGTTAGCGATACACATTCAAAGAACAAAAGACAGGAGAGTCAGTCCTAAAATGGATTTAACACTCGTCGGATTGATTATCAGCAGTCAATCAGCAGAGTAAAATGATGTTGCGGGAGTTCTTAAAATTGTTAAATATTGGATGAAGAACAAGAGAGTTGTACACAAGTATAAGTAATTAAAAAAATTGGTTATTAAATATGCAGCATGTCCAATTTTGATCACCCTTTAGCACAGGAAACCGAAGGAAAACATAGAGTCTGCTTATACATCAGACAACTCTAAAGATCAGACAACAGGAAGCGGCAGGCGTATTCCCGCCACTAAGAGAGTGATATTAATATTTGTTTTAGAAAAAAAAACCTGTTAAACGATCTGCGTGATGTCAGTAAGCTCATTACGGAAAGACAACAAACAGGAATCGAGAGAGAATATTAAAACAAACGCAAATATAACATTTACCTCAAAAAGAAATCCACGGAGACAAAACCGTTTCCCCAGAAGGGTAATCGTTACTCGCACCATATGTGAATGACACCTTGACGTGACAAAAATTATCTTTTCGTTTTCTTGGCATAACTAAATAGTCACAAATAAGAATGCAACAAAAGACACCGCCGGGTCAGCAAGGGGCCAACCACGTGTCTGAACGTAACCTCTCCTATGTTTTTGAAACAGTGCCCTTGACCTTGACTTTAGACACTTTTTAAACATCTTTTGCACATCTACATTACGCAATGTATCACAATGTCCAAGTAAGAAAAAGCACATCTTTGGATTATAAAGTAATATTTGGACACGAATGTGTGCACGGACAGGCAGACAAACAGACAGACAGACAGACGGACACTTTAATCAATATCAAGCACCAGCATATCCGATGTGGGGTCCTCATGTATGTTTTTTTCCAGGTCTTTTCAGAACTTTGCCATGCTATTATTATCTTTGGAAAAACCAAGCGGTAGAGTTTGAGATTCATTGTCGTTGTTGGATATCAGTACGCACTACTTTAATACTTCCAGAAATTGGTTTGTATACATTAAATGGTTGTGTCGTATATGGACAAAAACTATACATTATAATATTTCGAAATGTTTCGTTCGTAATAAACAACAATTCATATTAATAACTTTATAATAGTCAGAATTATAATAAAATTTATTGTGATTTTTCACCAAAATTAAATGCCTGGATCACAAGGGGAATTGTTAAAAAAATCAAAAACAAATACAACATCGGAGCTTTCCATATATTAGATTTATTTGCTGATAAGTTAGTATATTAGAAATATATATACATGGGGCTAAATATTATATTGCATTGTTTAACATCACAGAAGATTACATTTACCACCAATTGTAAGAGATCACAGGGGGTAAATTAGACAATATGATACATGTTTCTAAATGAGCTGTAAAATACCTAAATTGCACTAATACCTAAATTAAGGTCACACAATACCGATCCCTGTGATGTCTATATGAAGTGTGAAAAAAAATCCTTCTGTTTTTCTATAATATATAAAGGCGGCGAAATAAAATCCTTCTTTTTTATTATATATAAAGGCGGCGAAATAAAGTACACTGCCAAATAATAGAGAGATGTTTAGGACTACTGACTATTAACGTGTTGCGCGGTAACAAAAGTTTTTGGCTGAAAACCTCTCAAGTTTGGTAAAACATTAAGTGTTCTACATTAAAACGAAATATTTGCAGACGAACTGTTTTGATATCAGAAAAAGTTATCTCCCATATTTCCGTATAATCAACTCCACATAACTGTTTCCGGTAACATGTTACATTCCAAAGCTTACCATGACAAGCTGTCATATTGGTTGTTTGGATCCACATAACTGATTCCGGTAACGTGTTACATTCCAAAGCTTACCATGACGAGCTGTCATACTGGTTGTTTGGATCCACATAACTGTTTCCGGTAACGTGTTACCATGACGAGCTGGCATACTGGTTGTTTAGATCCACATAACTGTGTCCGGTAACGTGTTACATTCCAAAGCTTACCATGACAAGCTGTCATATTGGTTGTTTAGATCCACCTAACTGTGTCCGGTAACGTGTTACATTCCAAAGCTTACCATGACGAGCTGTCATACTGGTTGTTTGGATCCACATAACTGTTTCCGGTAACGTGTTACCATGACGAGCTGGCATACTGGTTGTTTAGATCCACATAACTGTGTCCGGTAACGTGTTACATTCCAAAGCTTACCCTGACGAGCTGTCATATTGGTTGTTTGGATCCACATAACTGTGTCCGGGAACGTGTTACATTCCAAAGCTTACCATGACGAGCTGTCATATTGGTATCAGATACAGGACCTATAGTCTTTTTTAGTCGTTTTATATTATTTTTGTTGTCATCAATTTGTTAAAATTATTGTATATAAACATGCAATTATGGAGTTCAATAAGACGGGAGAAACTAATATTTTGTCGTTTATTCACCCGAAGTATTCCAAAATTTATTACTTCTTCAGACAACTTTGACATGAAGAGTATCTTAAATCCAGACGAATCTTTATGTTTCTTTCTGATGATTTTTTTGAAGAAAAAACAGGTAAAGAGATGAAAATATAACGTAACAATAATAATGCAATAATCTTGAAGGGGAGATTATGTATAAGAAGGCAGGTAATACATTTAAACTTTAAAAAGTCCAGAGTCTGATGGATTTACAACAGAACTTTTTAAATGCTTTTGGGCAAACATTTTAGTGAGTTTATCGTTAGGTCAATTTTGGTTAGCGTACGGGGAACCGTTTTATGGCACAAAGGCAGGACATACTATCATTGCTCACCTGGTATTAATCTCACACTTGTAATCTTAAAAGTGGACTAAAATACAGCTACAGGCAGAATATCAGTGTTTGATTCATAAGAACCAATTAAAAGATTTAAACATATGACGCATGTGACCTTGAATGTCGTACAAGGACCTTAGGTTAAAAGTGGGTCAAGGTCACTTATTTGAACAAACTTAGTAGTCCTTCATCCCAACTTGCTACAGGCCCAATTTCAGTACCTTGGGCCTATTGGTTATTGAGGTAAAGTCGTTTGAAGATTTAAAGACATCTGACCCCAGTGATCTTGAAAGTGGGCCAAGGTAATTCATTTGAACAAACTTGGCAGTCCTTCATCCAAGCATGCTACAGGCCCAATATCAGTACCCTGGGCCTTTTGGTTATTGAGAAGAAGTCGTTTGAAGATTTTAACACATTTGACCCCTGTGACCTTGAAGGTGGGCCAAGGTCATTATTTGAACAAACTTGGTAGCCCTTCATCCCAGCATGCTACAGGTCCAATATCAGTACCGTGGGCCTTTTGGTTATTGAGAAGAAGGCGTTTGAAGATTTTAACACATTTGACCCCTGTGACCTTGAAGGTGGGCCAAGGTCATTATTTGAACAAACTTGGTAGCCCTTCATCCCAGCATGCTACTGACCAAATATCAGCAGCCTGGGACTCTTGGTTTTCAGAAGAAGTTGTTTAAAGTAAAATATTGACGCCGGACGACAGACGGACAGACGACGGACGCCGCACCATGCCATAAGCTCACTTGGCGCTTCGGAGCCCCATATCATTCTTGAATAATGTGTACAAAATTGCTTCAATTGGATAAATATGTTCCCACTCAATAAATTGATAAACAATGCTTTAACTGGTTTTCTTTCTGGTCGGTAACTATCTATATATGATATACAAGACTTATAAATTATAATTGCAATTTACTGAAGAGAATATTATCCATGGCATGTTACTTATGATTCAATTCGAGAAAGCATTGAATTCTGTGTATTGATTATTTAAAAACAGTTCTTCTTCTTTTAGGTTTCGGTAATAGCATCATCAACTGGTTCAAAGTTTTACATAATAGCGATCATTTAACCATAAATATAAGAGGGAACTTATCTTCATTTATTGGTATCAAAATAAGCTTACGACATAGGGACCCGATGGCAAATATCTATTTATTCCTTTGTGGAAGAAAATACAACAATATGAAAGGTTTTAATGTTGAGCATATTCCTAGGGATTCTGCTACCTCAATAAACTACGATACACCTTTTGCTTTTGTCTAATAATGTTGATATAACTCAAGTGATATGCATTGGAAGCAAAAGTATAGTGGGGACTGTTTTCTACAACTGAATATACAGTGGGGAAAAGAATCTTAGAATCTTAGAGATCAAATTCCGGTACAAAACATGGAACGTTGTGTTCAATGATCTTTACAATTTGTCCTGCAATAAATACTACAAAATGCCATTCCAAGCAACAAATAATATTAAATTTCTGTGTTTCCAGTACAGAGTAACCCATCATAAGTATAGTAACCAACTCATTTTTATAAACAATATGGCTAGCTATCTCCCCTTTTTGTGCATTTTGTAACTCTAAAACGGAAACAATGGGAATCCAAAACCTATTACAATGCCTTGCCGTACTATTATAAGCTATATCAATTCCTTTCTCTGTAAATAAAAAAACCCCTTTCATCTTTGGCCTTATACATTAGAACTTTCTCCCTAGTATTATGTAGACAATGAAATAGTCATTATTATATATCAGTACATTTACAAAAAGAGATGCTTGCATCATTCATTAAATATTAATGCCCTGGTACACAAAATCCAAGACAACAACATAGTTAAGAAATACATTACTAA